ACCAACATAACTTACTAGATACAAAACTTTAGATGGAAGATAAATGAAGAGCTGTTGGATACATAAAGGACGAGGACAAACTTTTATGTCAATTTTATATGCAAATTGCTCTCAAGACCCCATTAATGGTGTGTATCAAACTAGTGACCAATTTTGGTTTTGTGTTGAAGAAACTTACAACAATGAAAATGATACCACTTGGACTGTTCATCCAAAGAGTTCACTCTAATCTCGAGTTCTTATAGAAAAAGCAACAAGAAAACTGCATGCAAGCAATAGGCAATGGAAAAACAGACATCAAGGTGGTGCTTCAAATGTTGATATTGTAAGTGTAGATGTGTACCATATTTTTTAGATTATATTGAATAATTAATTATTCATTTATACAGTTAGGTCAAGCCAAACAGATGTTGTCGGAAGATCCAAAATTCAAGAATGGTTGGAAATTCGATCATGTTTGTAGCATTATTAAAGATTTTGAAAAGTTTCAAGATGAAAATACTCGTACAAAACAAATACCAATATGAATACCAAACCGAGATGGTTAGGATATGTCTTCAGAGTCTGAAAATTTAACCCCTCAATCTGCTAGAAATGCATCCCCAGTGTTGTCTTCATTTTCTTTAAATTTAGAAGATAGTGACGACATAATTGGTGGTTCTATATCTCAACGACCAATAGGGGTGGAAAGAGCAAAGTTGAAACGAAAAACAGATGACCAAACATCAATGCTCGTCAATAACATTGAAGAAGGAAATAGACAACTTTTAGAGCAATTGAAATAGGCATCGACACAAAGGGAACTCTTTTTGGAAATGCAACAAACCAAAGAAGAAAATAAAATATTGTTTAAGGATGTGAACTCAATACATGATCCCAACATATGAGCATATGTCGAGACCGAACAAGTACAAATTTTAGAGAAAAGGACTCAACAACAACATCAACTGACCCCACCTACATCGACTTCATTTGGACCAATCTTTAATGATCTTGGAGGATTTGGAAGCGGGTTACCAGATTATTAGATTTCTAGTAATTTTATTTCGGTGTTATTATGTATTTTTAAATTTTCGTCGATTAAGTTTTCATCTTTTATTATTAACTTATTTTCATCGAATATTTTATCATGTTGTATATTACTTACTTAATTAGAACATAATAAAAAATTAATTAAAAATAATTTATAAATCTCAAAATCGAAGGACGAAAAATGTAATTGAAAAAGTGGTGTAAAAAGTAGTGTAAATGAATAGTGTTAAACCAAATATAGTGCTATTCATTACACTAAATTTAGTGTGGAAAAAAGTGACCCCAGTGGACATGTGAATAGTGAGATTTACACCGAATTTAGTGTTTAGAGTAAGACTTAGTGACCCCATTGGAGATGGTCTTATTTTAGTTTACCTAGCTTCTCAACCTCTTCCAATACCTGAACATAAACCGATAATTAGATAAAGAGAAAATGAAAACAAGAATCATAAGGCGGGTACAACAAAACCTGTTGAATATTCTCACTTGAAAGAGCTCCTGGTTGTACCAATTTAATTGAAAGAGAGGGGCCTCAGAATGGAGCAGATATTTCAAATTTGAAATCGGTGTATACAAGATGGAGAGGGTAGAATTTAGGGAGGAGTTTTAGGGCATAGGTGTAGTATTTGAGACTGAGAGAGTACCCTGCTAAATTGTGGAAATCTAGGAGACAGGTTCTTAAGAAGACAAATTATCAAAAGTAAGGATGGTGTTTTACAAGGAAAAGGGAAGAAGAGAACTCTTTTAGAAGAAAAGGAGGGCTAAAGGTACCAAATTCAGTAGTGGTGGTGTGGGATTAAAAATCTTGTATAAATAATATGTCTCATCACTTATAATTCATAGTTTTTCAAAATTCTTGCATAATGGTAGTACTCTATGCTTTATTACTTGTATTTGAGTTTTTTCCTAAATGCATTTTAAGGTAGTATAAATATACACACATATAAAGTGGATCAAACAAGAACATTATAAAAATAAGTGAACAGGAGGATGACCAAATTGCATGTGATTTTTTACTATGCAAACTAAGGCGTGCCTAGTCACATGTGATATACACGTGTGTTTATCTTACAGGACCATTGATTGCAGTTTTCAGAAGGGTGTAAGTAGGGGCATACTCACCATATAAAAAGGGGAGGCCCTTAGTCAAAAAGATTACCTACGTTAAAAAGTTCTTTTCTACATTGCTTCAGCGTTCCCCCCCATTGCATTCTGCCACTCCCCTAGTCCCCCACCCCAACCTCACGGCTTCACAACATCACCTACAGCCCCCGATCATTGTCGGTGTATTTCTCCAGCCTATAACCTACATCCTCGATTTCTTATTTTCTTCTTTCATAAAATCTTCTCGAGTTCGACTTCTTCTTGAAGAAATATTTAGAGCTCAATTTCTTCCTCCAAAATCTTCTAGCTTAGCCCAAGTCAGTGTTAGATTTCTCTGTTGTTTCATTTAATTTTCGTTTGCTTCCATTTGACGATTTCTTCTTTGTTGTTTTGTTTGATTCAATTTTTCTGCTGTTATTTTTCCTTTGACTTCTACCCTAAGAGTCTAAGATTGTAAAATAGGAGAATACCCATATTTTTCTTATTAAAACGTAGGATATTTGAGCAATAGTGATGAATGTGTTTCCCTTTCGGCTTTTGATGATGTATTTCTAGAATCCCATTATTCTAGTAACATATTACATAGGCATCTTTAGATTATTCTCCATCATTATTCATTTACTTGCTAAATATTATTTGTTGGAGTCTCATATCGGCTAGGCTTGGACTATTTCTTTTATATATATGTTGGAACCTTCTCTTTCTTCTCAATGACTTTTTTGGAGACTGGTCTAAGGGTTCCACATATTCTCACATGGTATTAGAGCCAATGTTTGTCACTCTAGAGACCCGACATTCTAGCTAGCCCCCTCTCGTCACTCTGGACAATCTATATCCTTCTAGCCTCTATTAGAGGGGCATGTTGGAGTCCCAGATTGGCTAGACTTGCACCATTTCTCTTGAATTGTGATATTGTTAGACAAATTAGCTTTAAAAAAAGGATAATGTTCTATATATAAACACATTTTCGATTTCGATTTTGGGTTTTTGTTGATCTATATCTTGTTTTATGCTTCCAGATTTGTATAATTTATGCAGTAGACGAAGGACTAGCTAGTTGCTACTATTACCAATGAAGATTTGTAATAAATAACCGATTTTTGAAAAGATAAAAACTCGTAGACAACAATTGTTACTTCTTTATTTTAAATGATATGGTACTATTTACGTGCCCTTAGTCCATGAATTCTTGGATCCGCCATGTCCAAGGTTCGACCATTTATGCCACCGACGTTAAAGGTGTAAGCACTATAACATGGTAAACTCTTAAAACTTTCTTCCTACGTGTAGGAGGAGAGGAAAGGAAAGAAAATAGATTAAATCCTTAAAAATTTTATTAAAATTACTAAACTATCGAATCTTTCCCTTTAAAATAAATATTTTTAAAAGATATGTGAATAAAAATAACATATTTTCTTTTATTTCCGTTCTTCGTAAAAAAAACACTTTTTCCCCTCAAATTGGAGAAAAGAGAGTGTTGGAATGGAATTGAGTAGCAATATCAAGGGTGTTTGAGATTGTTTATTTGAAACGATTTATGTTTTTCTACAAAAGTCTTTTATCAATTTATTATAGTTAAGAGTGTTTTATTATCGATTTGATACAAGCTGTTTATTCAAACGGTGCTTCTTATTATCGGTACAGGATATCTTTTTAAGTCGTATTTGAGCAATTTCTGTATAATTACGTCGCCATTTTCAAGTCAAAAGAAAGATATGGAGTTACTGGATGGGAAGATCTCAAAATCCAAATTGTTAACTCAGCTAAGCAGGCCATGGATATGATATGATCATCAATTCAACTTTAAGAAGAATCGAAACAGCTATTCTAACTTGAAGGTCACAATCTCATCTTTCTGTTTTGTGTTTCAATTTGATGCATTTTACGATACCAAAATTTGTTCAAATGCTCGTAATCACTTGTACTGTTGTACACTTGATTGTTTTTTTTGTATTTGATTCCTTCAATCGGGTTAGATACCTTCCCAAATTCAAAATTGTTCCAACTCTCGTGCTTTCAATCAAAGAATTTTGTGATAAATTTGTTCAGATCTATGTGGTTCCTTGCCTACAAATTTGCATTTACTGATATTAGTTGTGTTTCACATTGCAAAAGGAGTGGAAGAGCTTCATCGTAATACATAATAAGAGGATAAAAAAAAAAGGTATTCTTCTTTCCTTGTTCAAAAGTTCTCCTGCTTTTTAGGATCTGCTAAAAAAAGCTAACTTGCAGCATATATAAAAACAAGTAGAATAGAATAACTTTTTAACGGCTGTAGCTGAACTATAGTAGCACACACATACACATACATATATGATATATACATATAGACAAAGGATTATGTGAGAAGAGGAGTTAAAGTGAGAAATCATAAGAAAAGAGCTGGACCTTTGATCGCTTTTGATCTCACACCACCCCATGAATTGCGCTTTACACATGAATTGATCCGGTGCATCTTATTACAGTGATTTTCAATTAGGATTGATCAGAGGTGGAGATCCCTTCTTACTCTTCTCATCATAACTTCCATTCAGGAACCCAACCCCATACATATATATGTATGTATCTATGTAATCATGTGATTTGTGTTCTTTTAAGACTTGAAAAACCTCACATGAATTTGTCTAAAACTGAGGGGATGAAACCTTCTAAAGTTGCGACTGATGCACCCTTGTCAATTCGTTCAGGAACCACAAGTGTGGGCTCAAACAAACCCTTGTTTTTTTCTACCTTAAGTGAATACTTGAGTCTCTTTTCCCTATGAATTGTAATTATCCCTTTATTTTGCTATGGGTAAGAACATGTATTTTTGAAAATTGGATGTTCATGTTCATGCTTTTTATGTATCTTTTTTTCTAGGGAGCATGGACATTGTTTCAAGTAGCTTAACGGCTATTTCCTTGTTATGGACACCTCTTGAGAGGTGTTGCTTTTATTCAAGAAATTTTGAAGAACGAGCTAGGACATTGCACTGTAAAATGGAAGAACTAACTAGTAAAGAAAATGATTTAAAAGCAGAAATCAGTACTTCCATGGTGAACCAAAGAAAGAAGCTCAGAAATGAGATACAGTTGTGGCTTAAAAGCGTTGAGAAGCTTGTAGCTGAGGTTAAGCACATTGAAACTGAAATCATCCGAAAAGACAGATGCTTGAAAGGATGTTTCCCTAATTACCTTTCACGTTACAGATTAGGTAAACAGATGGTGAAGAGCATTAAAGATATGAGTGAGCTTCATGCTAAAGGAGTATTTTCAAATGGGCTATTTGTTGCTTCTTTTCCAGATACTAAGAGAATCCTGCCAACAACTGGATTAGTGGGACATAAAACTCCCCACAGAGTTGCAAAGGTGATTTGGGAACTAGTGGCTGATATGAATACTAGTAAGATTGGTGTTTATGGAATGGGGGGTGTTGGCAAGACATCTATTATGATGCATATTTATAACCAGCTAATTGATTGTAAGATCTTTGACAGGGTCATTTGGGTTAATGTTTCAAAGACTTTTGATGTTGAGAAATTGCAACTAGATATTGCAAATGCTACAAACTTGGAACTCTCAGAAAAAGAAAACGTGGTATGGAGATCGACAAGGCTGCTTGAGCATTTGCATGGAAAAAAGTTTGTCCTCATCCTAGATGACATGTGGCATAAGTTTTCCTTAGAAGAGGTGGGTATCCCACAGCCAAGCACAGATAATGGTTGCAAATTTGTTTTCGTGACTCGCCTTATGGAAGTATGTCGTGGAATGGAAACTCAAAGGGAAATCAAAGTTGAGCTCTTATCCAAGAATGAAGCATGGGATTTATTCACAACCAAATCAGGTCCAATTCATTGCGATGAGATAGAACCTGTTGCACAGGCAGTCTGTGAAAATTGTGGGGGGTTGCCACTTGCAATCATCACAGTGGGACGAGCCATGAGGAAAATTGACAATAAAAGACTCTGGAAGAATGCACTGGAAGAATTAGAAAGCTCAAGAGCAGAAATTCAAGGAATGGAAGAAGATGTGTTTGCCCGACTGAAGTTTAGCTATCTTCACTTAAAAGATGACCACATCCAAGCGTGTTTTCTTTATTGTGCATTATACCCAGAGGATCACAAAATTGATGCTGCAGAACTTATAGAGTACTGGATGGCAGAGGAATTGATTACCGAAGTGGGAGACCGAGAAAAAGAAATCAACAAGGGGTACACAGTGCTGGAAAAGCTTAAAGATGCTTGCTTGCTGGAGGACATTGGATCAGATTATGTCAAGATGCATGACTTAGTAAGAGATATGGCTATCAGGATTGCCAGGGAGGGTCCAAGGTTGATTAATAAATCTGCAATGAAATTAAACCGATTGGCAAGGGAATGGATCGAAAACGTTGAGTGGGTCTCTCTAATGGATAACAGCATATGTGTTGTACCTGATTATCCCAACTGCCAAAAACTTTCTACTTTGCTTCTTCAGCGGAACCCTCTCTCTGAAAAGATTCCTGATTCATTCTTTGTGCATATGCAGTGTCTTAAAGTACTTGACCTCTCCAATACTGACATCTGGTCATTACCGGAGTCTGTTTCAACTTTATGTAACCTCCGTGCGCTCCTGCTAAGTTTCAGTATGCTGAATGAGCTTCCTTCGTTAGCCATGTTGAAGGAACTGAGGGTGTTGGACCTGTCACATACCCTTCTGAAGACCCTACCACAGGATATAGACAAATTAAACAATTTAAGGCGTTTAGATTTGTCATACACTGGAGAACTGCTTACATTCCCATCTGGTGTTATCCAAAAGCTTTCTTATCTAGAGAATTTTTCGATATTTAAAAGCAAATGGAGATGGTCATCAATTAGAGGAGTAAGTGAAGGAGTTGGATTTGATGAAATTTCAAGCTTGTCAAGATTAACCAGTCTCGGTCTTTCCTTTGAGGACCGAACCAGCTTCATAGACTATGTGAGATCTAAGCACTGGCAATTTCTGCAAAGCTACCATCTTGGTATAGGTCTGCTATCCATTTTTCTACCAGTCTCCAAGGGAACACGCAGTATTGAAATTCAAGGTTGTAACCTTGTCTGCCAAGACACAGTGATCGAGCTTCCGAACAACATCCAACAGTTGGCGCTGCATGGTTGCCATGATATTACTTTTTTATCAAAACTCTCCAGCACAACCAACTTGGACCATTTAAGAGGATGTTACCTTTCAAATTGTAATGGCATGGAATTCATCACAATGGCAGGTAACCCTTTTCCGAGTCTTGAGCTACTAGTCCTACGAAAACTGCCCAAGTTAAAGGCCATATCTGATGGTATTGCAGCAAGTCAGATATTCGCAAAGCTGAAGACCCTTCAGATCCATAGCTGCAATAACATGAAATATTTGTTTTCATCTAGTATGCTACAAGACTTCCAAAGCCTTGAAGGGATTGAAGTATGGAACTCACAATTGATTGAAGAGATGGTAGAAGAGGAAACTGAAGGCAATATTGCTACCTTATCAGCTTTCTTACTTCCAAAGCTCCGTCGCTTGTCCTTGTCCACATTACCAGAATTGAAATACATCACAAAAAGGGTCCTGATATGTGATTCCCTTGAAACAGTTGAGATATGGGACTGTGAGAATTTGAGGACCCTTCCATTCTCCATCAGCTACTTGCCAGCCTCTCTCAAGCACATCAAGGGAAATAGAAATTGGTGGGATGGGTTGGAATGGGATGAAACCAGTTGCAAGAATCTTCTGCAACCATTTTTTGACCAAGGTACATAAAACGGTATCCACCAGCAGAAGTTGCGATGAGGGATTTCTTTCGGACCAGTCATGTTCCTGCATAGGGCTCGGCTTGTGTACGTTAAATTCTTCACCTGGATTGTATTTCTTACTTCATGTAACCAAACACATTTCTTGGTCATGTGCGAGCAAAATAGCTTTTGAACGCTACTACTAAAATCAGTCACTCGACCGTTATATCCTATGTTTATACCACTTTTTGCACACCAATCCTACTTTCTGTCGTTAGTCATTACTTTCCAACAAACCGGTCAACTTGATGAACAGGGAAAACTTGTCCAACCATTCTTTTTTTCAAGAACCGATACTCAACAAAGGGGGTGTTTACTTATGACTTGATGAGCTTAATGACTGAATGGGCTTGTTCGCACAGACATTTTGGAGTGTTTATTTATAGCTTAATGAAAAAAATGGTGGCTTATTTGCACAGTTGGAATTGTTATGTCATCCCTATTAAGCCAAAAAAAATGGCATCCCTACCCTTGTTGAAAAATCACGCCTCTCTTTAAAAAGCACACTTCCAAATAGAGGCTTCCTTCAAACCCTAGCCACACATGGTTCCTTCCCCCATTTGCTACACGGCGACCTTCAAACCCTAGCCACAGATCGTTGCTTCCCCCCATCGGTTTTTATCAACAAAGGTGTTGGCTTCTCCCTTTTTATATATGTTCTTTTTCTTTCTTTTTTCCTGAAAGGTATTGATTTCTTGAAAAAAAAATCTCATCACAAAGTACGATTTCAAGGTACCAGATGAAGCTAGTGCTTGTACAATCAAAACCCACGGAAATTATGAATAGAAAGGCAAAAAGAACGAGAAAATTATGAAGTTAAAATAGAGAGAAAACAGAACAGAGATCAAGAAGGGGTTCAAGTACAAAATTTTGAAGATGGTACTGTTAGGGTTCTTTGATTCTAAAGCTGTTTGTTCAGGGTTCTCAATTTTATAAGGAACCAAATTGTTGTTTATTTTACTTTTATTTCAATCAAAGATCGTTGCCAGGTAAAATGTTTAGTTCATTCGGGGGTAAAATGGTCAATTGTCATTCAGATCGTGGATTCGTAAGAAAAAGAAACAACAATACATTTTAATCGAAACAGACAAATTTATCCAAACAAACAAATTTACCCATACGGGGCTTAATAGAAAATTTGGTAAACATCCCCTTTAGTGGTCAAATAAAAGCTCTTAGACTACCTCCGTTCACAAACCAAACCAACCTAAAAATGAATAAGACAAAAATCTGTTAATTAAAAAAAAAATTGGAAGTGGCTATGTTTGTGCAAACTGTTTGCACACACAAACAAAGTTCACAACATTATTTTATTATTAAATAGATTTTTGGATAGATTTTTGGATAGATTTTAGAATGAGGTGGCATCTATTAATTGGTTATTTTATAAAAAAAAATTTAGGATAAAACTTATCTGGTTAAAAAGATAACTTTAATAAAAATATCAAAAATCAAAAAATATACCAAAATTCATATTTTTCAATTCCATACAAATAGAGAGCAATCTTGACATATTTTCAACACACCAATCTTTCTCTTCATTTCAATACTCTCATTTTCTTGAAAATTCAATTTTTTTCAAGTTTTCCTCAATGGATCCAAACCAACAAAAATTTTGGATTAACTCTCAACATTCTGATAATTCTCAGTATATCCCTGAAAATGTTCAAACCTCACAAAAAACCTCAAGAACCGACCATCCATGGGACACTAAAGAAGATATAGCTTTAATGTCGGCATGGGTTTTTGTTAGCGAAGACCCTACTCGTGGCAAAAACCAAAAGAAGGGAGCGCTATTTTCACGAGTGAAAAAATACTATGATGAAACTCGAGAAGAAAATCCAGAAGGAATGCGCGAAAGGAATGAAAATCAAATGAAAGGTCGTTGGACACGACTTAACGAAAATGCAAACAAATGCGTTTGGTTTGCAGGATTGTTTTGAAGGGATTTGGATTGGATTTAGAATCCTTTATTGTGTTTGGTTTGTAGGATTTGGAATTCATTCATTTATAAATCATGTTTGGTTTGTAGGATTTGGATTGGGATTTAATTTTTTTTTTCTTTCGTAATTATTTGTTTGTTTTATAAAGAATTTCTTTTTATTGATAAATTATCTTTTTGTTATCAATTTCTCCGAAAATTGTATATTTAATCACCAAATCTCTTTCATTTTTCCAAAACTATATATTTAATCATCTAATTCATTGTTTCAAAACTACATATTCAATCATCTAATTCCTAGTTCCAAAATATATATTTAATCATCTAATTCATTGTTTTTAAACTACATATTTAATCATCTAATTCTTTGTTCCAAAATATATATTTAACCACCAAACCTGTTCATTTAAAATGCATATTTAACTAACAAACATGTTAATCCAAAATACATATTTAACCACCAAATTGTTCTTCCAAAACCACATATTTAGCCACCAATTTTTTTCGTTCTTTCAAAACCCAATTCACGTAAACGTCTCTACCTGCTTCTTGCAAGCCCCACAACATGTTCACCTTTTTCAGAATCGTCTCTTGTTATTGCAATTACTTTAAACTTCTCCGGTTAGGCTAATGACTGTATTTTTGAGATCTTAGAAGTGATCATCAAACATTTCTTATCAAGTTCTTCTTCTCATTCGATACCCTTGTTAAGTTTGTTCACGATTTTTTCCAAGTTTAGTAACCGCATTATTGAATCCGTCAGCCATGGAATCTACTCGATGTTTTTTCTTCTTAGCACGCCCACTTGAAGTTTCTTCAGATTGAATATTTGCATTGCCACCTTGAATATTGCTAGTTGTCATCACGTCGTCAGACTCGTCATTCATGTGTTGTGTTTGATCTTCTATACGCACCTCCTCTTACGCCTCAACAAAATATCTTGCTTTATTTCCTTGAGCCCGATCTTTTCCATACAAAGATCCTCATAAAACGGATATGCTTTGTTCTTCCATTTTCCCACCTCTTTATGGACCTATTTCATAATAGAATAACATAAATACACATATAACTATAATTATATATTATGCAAATATAAACAAACAAGTTTTTTAGCATGTACCTGAGATATACGACTCACAAACTTGGTCTTCGGCAACCACACAATGTTTTACACTATCGTATCTGAAGCCGCTAGTGTATGAACCACTTATCATGTCATGCACAATAGTCCAATCTTTCTTCATTATTTTTAACTTTGATTCAATGTGTGGTTTCCCTAAAGTACCAGAGCCCGACAAAGATTCTTTTAAAGCTTGTTCAAGATATGTTAAATAACCCGATTTAAAGCCATTATCGGCTTTAAATGTTCTTGTATTCACCATGGTAACTAAAGCTTCAACAAGTTTTTTTCTTCAATATTTATCCATACTCGATAATTTCTAATTTGACTCGTCATACCTATAAACATAAATGAATCATTTAAAGTACAACAACATTTAATTATCCATGTTTAAACTCCATAATTTCTATTATAAACAAACATTAGAAGTACGAGTTAAACAAACATTTGAATCATACATATTAATTGGAAGCATTCCAAGAAGCAAACATAGATTATGCTAAATTATCCCTAAATGCAGTCCACTCATTTGAAGTACCAACAACATTTATATTATCCCCGTCTTCGACTCCAAGGTCTCCGGTTCCTTCATCCACTTCACCTTCATTGTCAAGTGGATATATTGGCATTTCTTGCATTATAAAATTATGGATGAGACAACATGCCATAATGATCCTAACTTTTAATTCAAAAGGATAATACGAGTTATCTCTTAAGATTCCCCACCTTGCCTTTGACATACCGAAACATCGTTCACTAACATTTCTCACCGATAAATGCTTCATATTGAAAAATTCTTTGGCATAGGTTGGTTGGTGTCCATCACGCCCATCATTTAGATGATATCTTTGACCCCTATATAAGGAGCTAAGAAACCCTCTCCATTTGTGTATCCGACATCAACCAAGTAATAACCTAATAATAAATTAAGTTAATAAACCATCAAAACTCATACTTGTTAATATATAGTTAACTATCAAAAACTATAACCGATTTTGGAACTTTTAATCCATGAGGCCTAAGAAGAGCATCTCAAAGCACTCGACCTTCAGCAGTTGATCCCTCCCATCCCAGTAATGCATATATAAATTGCACATTTTGTGAGCACACCCCTAGCATGTTTGTCGCAATATCATTCTTTCTTGTTCTATATCTAAGTTTGCCTTCTTGAGGAACTAACCATTTTATGTAGGTTCCATCTAAAGCTCCTAGACAATTCTAGAACCAAGAAAAAAGGATCATTATATTTTCATAATAATTAGACTTATTTACAAATAAGTAAATTCTAAAAGAGGAAATACCGTAAACCATTTCCATCTTTGATTAGTAGAGTTATTAGGAACAGGTTCGGGTTTCTTAAGCAATCGTGGATGTAACCTTATTACGGCATTGCAAACTCGAGCAACAACTCCGCTAATTGTTTCTCCCGGACGATGAAAACGACATATCGTAACCCGATTATTAACATTGTGAGCAATAATATGAAGAAACATGTTAACTTGTTCTTCAATATACATAAACCTAGTTGTTCTTAGCCCTCCGTATGTTTCAACCATGTCACACAACTTTTTGATACATGTTCGAGTCATCCTAATTTGCGATATAGACATAGTGTCACTCTCATAAATATACCTATGCATTATTGAGGATCGATCGGCATTTGAAGAAGAGTATCCAATTTGTTGTTTATCCCTTTGTCTTTTAACCATAATCATCCAAAGCGATGCAACAAAGAATACGACAACATGGACAACTATGTTAAACCATTCCAAATACTCGTCTCCCTTGCCTATGTAAATGTCTTGTTAAACTAAGTTGGTCAATTTCCTGTCCAATTACTCAAATGTTAAACATATATTTAAATTACAAATCTCGTACAACCTTTAATTACTCAAATTATTAGATTCGGAATTTTGCCAAATAAATCAAAGCAAAAAAACACAAATTCAACATATGGTTGGTAAAAATGAAGCATGAAAGTTGTAGAAAGCATAGGCATGACCATAAAGGGCATTTAGTTCAAAAAACACTTTCTTATTGTATGCCTAACGATGTTGAATACTATTGATTCATGCATCAAATCCGCCGCTCGATCCTTAGTAGAGTATAACTACTTAATTAAACAGAAATTACAACTGTTGGATCACATGTAGAAGAGAATGAAGTAAAATTGCTTCAACATCCATGTCCTAATTAAATTCATATTGATAAGCCACATAATAT